AGTCATATTTCTCATCTCAAGAACGACAATATTCCACTAAAATAGTAAAACAAAAAAAGTGGCCGTTACTGAAAAATCGTCCTGATTCCTGGACATTTTTTTTTGGTCACATATAATCTAGTAGTGGATTGTCAAAATAATTAAGAAATTCAGATATTAATCTCATTAGGACACATTAGCAATAACTTTGAACAGTTATCAGTGAGGCTAGTCTCTTTTCAGAGATCATTGCCTGTGTTCTGGTGGTCTAAATTCATCAATTCTTCTTGATTTTGCCCTGGAAACACATATGAATGTCATACAATGGGGCACTCTAGACCCGAGCTGCTAATGCCACTAAGCCAAACAGGTGACAGGAGGTTGGCTTTCAAAACACCAGCCCCAGGCCTGGTAATCCCCATGGCTGGTATTTCTAGTGTTCAATGCAGTCACGAGATTTAAAAGCTCTCATTTTTTCCTTGAGCATAACGCTGAAAATGGCAAAAATTAAAGCTGTGGGGTCTCCCTTTACCCAGCGCTAGGAGGCTGCCATACAAACCACTGTAAAATCTATATAGATAAACTTGCATGTAGGAATATGTAGGACTATAGAAATACAGAAATACAAGTATATAGATATATAGATAGTATGTATTTCTAGATATCTCTATAGATACAGAGATACAGAGATACAGACATAAAACTATCTTTGGGCAAAGAAAGTAAGGAACAGGGGCAACAAACCTCCTTCAATGCCAGGATAAGAGAGGGCTCAACACCACCTGCCTGTCTACATGGCAAGAAGAAGCCAAGGTGTGCAGGTAACATCAACATGGCCTTGCCTGGAGCCTGGACTTTGCTGGGAAACCCCTCCATTGAACCAGGCAGTAAATGCTGACTCTTTCAGGGTTTCCACTCTTTCAGGATGGAATAAATTTTGGGAAGTCACTAATCAAGGCTGAGCTCTTGTTGGGCTGTGCTGAGATGACCTGAAGAAAGCAAAAGGGAAGAGCTGCTACATGATTCAAATCCTAGGCCATGTGGTTGGTGAGACTTTTGCCATTAATGTCTGTGGAGGCAGGATTGCGTGTAATGAATTATGAGGACCACTCCCTGCCTTGGGGACCCTCATTGCTGGCCAGGTTGTACACTGGGGCTCACGTTAGATAGCAAATTCCAGTGAGGACATCATCCTGGGGACTTCAGAGGAGCCAAATAAACAGCAAGTCAAGGGGATAAGGAACAGTCTAGAGCTAACATGGAGGATATTATTACTTGATTAAGTTAAGGGAAGGAAGGTTTGGACAGAAAGCCATGAAAGCTTCTTAATAAGATCTAGCAGGTTCTGGAAACACCCTCAAAGGAGATGCTAGAAGCAAAGCATCTGCAAATACAAACAGTAATAAGGCTTCTTGGGTCAGAAGAAGTGCACGGGAGGATGAGAGACTCTGTAGCTTACCTGTTAGCACACGTGCCATGTGAAAGGTGAGGTGAAAGCTCAAGCCTAACAGCAGGTTGTGCATTTTATGGGAAATGGTTCTAGGCAATAGTGACTCCTTAGGATTCACCTGCTCTCCACAATGTTATGTGGTGCCTCGTCTTCAGAGGTATTTTTTTTCCTGAAAAACCTACAAAACTATTTGCAAAGAGGAAAGATTAGAAATGTGTGCCATATTGTGAATCTGGAGGTTATGTTGACCCTGCAGATGTTTTCTGGATGCCAGCAAGTTGCTGATACCGAGCAAAGCACAAAGCAGAACCTTAGAGCAACTCTGGCTGCACAGCCTTGAAACGGGAAAAAAAAGTAACAGAAAGAGCTAACTTTATCTTTGCTGTGATTATGTGGGACAGTCAGGACCAATTTTGAAAACGGCTTGATTTTTTTCCTAAAAATAGCCTTGCGGGTCACTTTTAATCAAGTCCAAATTGCCAAGTCTCTGCCTTAGTAATAAATAAAATTTGATGGGGATACCTTCAAAACCAACAGCCGAGCATTTAAACAAGTTGTCTCAAACTCAGTTCTGACTCCAGCCTTGCAAATCATTGCCAAATATCACACAGCTTCATGGCCTAATCCTCTGAAGAGATATCTAATGCTGTGTAAATCTGTGTCAGGAGGACAACAGCACCTGTGATGTGTTTCAGGGTGACATTTTTGGCGCTCTAAAGAAAACGGTAACCCGCTCAGATCTGAAGTCTGGTCTTGCAGGATTTGAACAGAGTATCTTCTGCCTTGAGAGAAAGGGGAGTTATAGGATATGAGGGAGGAAGCATGCAAATGCACGAACGAAGGCAGTTTGAAGACCTTGAGAAGATCTGACTTTCAGACATTGCGGGTGAAGCTAGCAAAGAAGGTGCTCTGTATTTGATTAATTTTCTTTTAAATCTCCAATTTATTTTACAAATGAATGAGCTTCCCTTGGTACATGAGTGTATGGATCTTGGTTTCTATCACTGAGCATGCTATCACTGAGCTGTTTTTCTTATACCTCCAGCTTTTCTGGATAGGGAGCTCCAAGGCTTTGTGGGGTTAAGGCCGTTTTCTGCACTAAACTTTCCACCAAAGACAGAAATATGTTTCACAGTGTTACTCCTATCATGATATCTCCATAATGCCAATTATATTACAGTTTTAAGATGCCTTAGTTGAATGGCTTTAGTATATAAGTATGCTGTGTGTTTGCTTACTGCTATTAGACAAATCCTTCAGCCCTTTTTCCTTATTTAGGCAACATTAAGTCAATGGGGAGAGTGAATGAAAGGAGAAGGCTTTGGACTGTATGTTAATGCATCTTCAGAGTACAGGATTTAATCAAGGCTGGTAAGAAACAGGGAAGACTGAAAATGGGTGCTGCCCCAGTTGGGAAGCGTGAGTTTAAGATGGTTTTGAAGTGAACCCAAATTTTCATCTGTAACTGTGAGCATTGACTAAGCAGGATTTAGGTGAAAGAAGCATTACTAGTGAATATATGTCAAACCTATAGCATTACTTACTCTAAAAGAACTTCTGAGGCATGCTTATGTCACAGGTTCAGATCTGCTTTCTTACAGATGGAAGCAAAGGCTTCACTGGTGATTTTTACCTCCCCAGTGTCTAAGCGTCCTAAGACATCAGACCTTGAATCCAGTCTGCCTGTCTACTGTGATGTTTTTATAGCACACACACCACTAAAATGCAGAAGTGTTTATTAAGACCTTCCTTCCACATTAGCTCCTGGCTCTGTACGTGAGAGGTGAGTTTGTGTCACACCTTGTTAAAGAGTGACATGTTAAAGCACGACAGTCAGCCTCTGTGCCACTTCGTCGTCTGCAGATCTGGGCCGTCTTATCCCGGCAGATATCCAGCCTGCTGCATCCAGCCCAGGCTTGGTGTCTCCTTCCCTTAGGCTTGCTGCATGCCACAATAAAGCCATCAATTGGTAAATAATTTAACAAGTTGAGCAAGTTTTACAAAGATGCTTAGCTGTGCAGACAGCGCTGGTACATAAATGAATATGTATTCAGGAGGAAGGAAGGTTGCTCTGTAGAGGACACTAGCTCACGACTTAGGGGACCAGGCTTGTCTTATCCCGCTTCATTACAAACCTCATGGGTGATGCTGGGCTGGTCAGCCAGCAGTGGGGTTCAGAGGAAAAATCATCCCATCCTAAAATGAAAAGGAAGGTTTCCCACCAGAGCTGTCTGTGTTCATGGGGGAGCCTAGAGTTTCCTTTTACATTAAGCACCTATTTTTTATGTAGTGTAGAAGAATCCCTGGTTTTAGACTTCGCTTCTATCTTTAAAATGGCAGTAGAGCACACTTCTTAGAGGTAAGCTTTGCACACTCACGTTGGTGAGTGTGAGACAATCCGATACCACGGTAACTGGGGCTGTGAAAACAGCTAAGATGGGAGTAAGGGAACTGTGATAAGCAATATGCATAGGTCTCGCTCTTCTAAGAAGAGAATATTTTATAGTATGTGAGGATTAATTTTGGTTCCTTTTTTAATCCATACAAATTAGCATGATACCTATGGTGTTGGAGAGCTGTTTGTTTCTCACTCCCTAAACTCTCAGGCTGTGAACACTGACTTGAGCATGCAAAACCCAGTTGCTCCGCAGGTTTGTTAATCTGACCCATAATCTCCACTGCCATTCAGTTCATCCAGACTCCAGTCCTGTGCCTGACAGCATCCACATTTCTGACCAGCTGGGTACTACAAAAGCTCTGAGAAATGAAGAGCATTGGAGCCCCTCCATGCTGGCTCCAGGTTTGGAAATATATAGTTTATTTCAAAGAAATGCTCTTTAAGAGGTATGAACCTCAATGTTGAGCGCCTGTCAAGTTTCTTTCTCCCTTAGAGGCTGTGTAGAGACCAGAAAAAGTGAAAAGTGCAGAATCAAAGAGTCACGCACATCATTCTTTTAGAATCTGTGGTATAAAGTCATGTCTATCAGCAATCTAGAAGACTTGTTTCTAATTAGTAAGTTTAAGATTGGTAACTGAATGGTAATGCTAAAATCTTTTATCTCTGCTGGAAATGGTTAGATCTTACAGGTGCTTTCATCCAGAAAGCCCTAAATTGTAACACTTATGTGACTCATCATATTTTCAATAGTGGAAGATACACACACCTTGAGGAGTGTTCAGGAAACCTACAGCACGGGCGTCACAGAGCAGTGGTTTTGTAACGGTGGTCTCTTTTCTCATCAACTTTGTGCAAGCTGACGTTAGGAGGATTTCTGTGTGCTTAGTTAAAAGAAAACTGACATCTTTGAAAGTCTGTTTCTATAAATTTTGCATTAAACTGGAAACAAAGGTTTTGTGAGTTGGTAAGAGTTCTGTCATGTATGGATGTAAAAACCTCCTTTTTTCTGTGTTGGTCTAATTTAATGGCTTCCATTTAAGGTGTGGGGGTGTCCCACAGTTCCAGCTGTTTCTAACTAACCAGCTGTTTCTTTTCAGGACGGAAAGTCAGAAGAGAAGGAAAATAGCAGGAGTGCACTAACAAACTGGATTTTTGCTTTGTGTCTCCATTCAGGTCTCTCTAATAAGCCTCATCGCCAGTACGCTTGGATACTCTGAGATGGGTCCCATTAAATCCCTCAGGACCCTCCGAGCCCTGCGACCATTAAGAGCATTGTCACGATTTGAAGGGATGAGGGTAAGAATATATAAAGCATTGATCAAAGCTCATCTGTGTGACATCCAGCATGTAGCAGGGAACAGTTGCACGTGGTTTTGTCTTCATTTGGTCTGCAGAAGGAAATGAATGATAATGCTGTATCAAAACAACAAAACCAGAAATCCCTCCTTTGTCTTGATTGCAGTTGTATCGCTGCAGCTTTACCCTCTGGTGGATTTAATGATAAACTAATCCTGCTGCCTAACTTGTCATATTGCGCTTTAAAAAACAGCTTTTTGGCTGAGGAAACATCTGCCTAACAATTACCTCTCAATTATAAGGCGTATCAGGGGAATAACCAAGCTACAAGTTTGCTCCCTGCTTTTGACATGTATTAAAATGAGACTGACTGGGAAAGTTCTTAAGGACTTTTTCACTAATAATTAAAGCAAAAATAAGAAATGCTAAAGATAGGGAAAGCAAATGAATGATTATATAAAATCTTTCCTTTGAACAGATTGCAGTTCTAATATGGAATGTCAGGATTAACATTAAAACCATGTAGCTTGTGTTTGTTGCCCCATCTTGTGCATCCATCTCTTTCCGTTCTGCATTCCTTTGCCAGCATGACTATATCCGCGCCGCTTACCTGTTTATTTGTTAAGCCTACCTGCTACACTAATCAATTATTGTCTAGATAAGCGCTTTATTTAGCTCCTTGCACCATGCATGACTTGCAGATGATGACAACTGTGTTCTGTACGAGCTGAGGTTGCTGCTAATCTTGCAGATTGCATAGTAAGATAAAGGAAATCTGTGACAAAATTACACGTAAAACAACTTACATTATCTGATGATCCCAAATCTCTCTACTAGGCCAAAGAAAATGCCATAGCTTTCATACTGAGGTATATTCAGGGTAAAGCTTTCCCATAGACAAAATTTTGGTCTGAATCATCAGTGACTAAAATGTGTAGGTCATGCACTGAGCTCCTAGTAATGAACTGTTCTCATTGCAATACCCTTGCAGTAAGACAGACTGAAGGCTAGAAAGCCTAACGACCGAGATAACCCAGGAAATACGGTGATAGAGCAATTTATGAAAACCCTGTACCCCTACTTTGCCTGTTCTGTGGATGACCAGCATTGGGGATCTATGGTTTTGTCCCACAGACCTTGTGATTATCTAAATCACATTATTTTTGTGGATGAAGATCAGAGAAATCTAGTTACAGACCACTCTCCTCTGTGTTAGTACTAAGACAAAAGATTCAAGAGGCTCTATTCATCTGGGCACCCAAACCTCAATTGCTTTGTTCACCACAATCTTTTCAGCAAACACAGGCAATATTTTAAAGGTTATTCACAAAATAAAACAAAAGCAAACTGCAGATCCTCAGCTGGCACAAAGTGATGTTGCACTACTGACGTTAATTAAAGCTCTCGCTCCTATGTCATCTGATGACCTCACTCCAAGTCTTTATTAAACATACGCAAATTGAGCAAACATTGATATCAGCAAAAGCTGCACTAGTTTAACTACCAGAGTGATTTGTGCACAGTCTCTCTCAAATCAGTTTAAATCTGCCTTATGAAGGCTTAGCTTCTACTGGTGGATTTGCAAGTTCAAGCGAAACCCCTTTAACATATTCTAAACTGACATGAGAATGTTTACTCATGACTTTGCATCAGTTTAACTAAATTGGATTAAAACCTGAAAAGTAGTGGGAAGACTAGCCCAAAGTGTTGGAAAAGTGAGACTGAAATAGGAAAGAAATAATGTGAAAAAGCTCACATCTCTATCGAGAGGCTTTCTGAGAACAGCAAGAGGTTGGCTTGGTGGAGATCCTACATGGTGTAGACACACAGATCAGCCCAGCATTTCTTCCTAACATGCTCATACTTGTAGGCTTCCCTGGTCCCTGACTCAACATCCCTTTTCTTCCCTGTACCATTGCTGCAGCTGAAATATATTCAGTCTTTCTGAGCTATCAGAGGTAGTGAATTAGCTTGTAAACTATGATAAAGTGTAATTGAGAATACGTGCTATTGGAAAATCAAATAATTTTATTTTTAGTTTGTCTAACCACACTTAACGTGACTAGGGACAGTTAGACCTTTCATTATTAGGAGTTCATATGCTCCAGAATGCACAGGAAAATTGCCAGCGCAGTGATGGATTAAATAATGATAATGTTGAGAAGCAAACACTGACAGTAAGAAAATAATAATAGTTTGCTCTATTATAATGTCTTTTTCTTGAATAACTGAAAGATTTCTGCATGGCTAGAACAAGAACAAGAAAGTTCTCATTTATACTGCAGTAAGAGCCTTATTTCAGTGATGCTGTAGCTAAATTTTGGAAACAATTGGTGCTGAGACAAAGACACAGAGTAGAACTTGGATGGCCAAGAGGACCTGTTACCATCAGACTTCAGTCCTTTCCCTGTCTTCAAAGAGGCTGGGACCTGTCCGAGTTTGACACAAGTCTCAGCAGCTCCCATCCCATGAGAGGTCTGCAAAATAAGGCTGAACCGTTGCCATCTTGCCCTTCTGTCCCCAAGAAAGACCCCAGTAAGACCAGTATCCCACCTGACAGTTACTGCAGACCCTGGGGGTACCATGCACGTGCCACCACCCTGCGTCACGCATCGCTTTCCGGGCCATAGTAGAGTAAATTAACTTAGGTCTGCCTGTCCCGAATCACGAAGTCTCCCATGTCTCCTCATTTGTTGTCCATCAGGGAATTATTTCAGAGGTGCCGCTTCCCTGCAATTTTCTTCCCAGCAAGGGAGGTTATTGCAGTATTTTAAAAGGATGAGTGGGATGGTGATAGACCATTTAATGTGAAAATGATACTAGGCAAAGTCATGGTGAGGCTGCTACAAGATACATGCAGGAAAGAAATAGCATAATTAATGCTAGTTAGCATGATTTCATGGGAATAGTTCTTGTAAAACTGATATGGTCCTTTGATTTGATTACAAATTATGCTGATGACGGTAACTGTGCTGATATAATATCCTTAGATTTCAGAGAGGAATCTGATACCACGGGACATTGTGATGAAACCATGAGCTTTGTACCAAGCCAAGTAAACATATTTTAAATTAATTTAAAATGGGTGATGGATCTCGAAAAGTAATTGTAAACAGTGATGACACTGTAAATTCGGTGATGAGTGTCTCAGGGTGAGGGATTCTTCAGAATCTGTCCTTAATCTGGACTTCAACAGCATCTGGAAGAAATTATAATATCTTTGCTGACAACAGACAAAGTGAGCGGAGTAGTAAGTGGTATTACAGATAAGGGAATTATACTGACTGATCTGGATCACAGTGAAAAACAGATCAATTGAACAACATGCATTTTAATAAAACCACATACATTGTACACCTCGGGAGGAGGAAAGTAGGTCACTCCAGGGGACGTTTCTTGGAAAAGAGTGGCTGAGAAGGACTTAGGGATCGGGATGACTGTTCAACAGGACACATTCTTTTGGGCAGGTCCGATAAATGAGGGATTACAGTCCCGCAATACGCAGGGAAATAACCCAGCAGGCAGAGGGAGAGGGCAGTGCTTCAATACTGGAATTCCACCAAAATGCTGTAAATGGGGTGTTAAAAATGAGAAAGTCTCTGCAGCATGATTAGAAATCCGAAGGAACCACAACAGTTAGAAAGAAGCCCTGGTTTTTTTAATTACCAAAAGCAATGTTCAGTGGTGACTCACCTGCAGTGAGGACAGGGATGATAGGAGATGCCTAACAGCAGATGACTAGTGCCTCAAGTTCAGCAAATTCAACCTAAAAATACAGCACCTGTTTCTAACAGTGAGGGCCAAGGACACCAGGAATAGATTATCTAACAATAAATTTTTTCTCCGTTATTTGAGATCATGACACTGTAAATTAGATGTCTTTGCAAAAGCTGTGCCCAGGCTTGGCTAGGAGTTATAGCCTGGGCCTGAAATGACTGCGGCAAGACTGGTGGGCTCTGCTGTAGCAAAGGGAGGATTAACGCATCGTGCAAGTCTATTCTGGATTTAAATTCTGCATCAGCTTCAGCTGAGGAGGTGGCCCATGAGATCAGGAGAGCGGGGGGCCAGGCACAGGCTACAGATTTGCACCACTGTGGATTAGGGCAGAGGGTGGCTCAGTTTCTAGGCTAACCCTAAAGAAGTCACCTGGAAGGTGGTTTCTCCTATAAAGGTATTGATGGAAGTCAAGAGGTATGAAACCTTTTCTTATACATGGCTATATATGTTGCTGTTCCTAGATGCAATAGAAATTCAGCCCTTTCCATGGCAAGGTTTGCAGCTGAACTTTTAACATGAATTTGTGATGATAACTTGCCTTTGTGTATTCAGGTCTTTAAGTCCCCTCGCTTGTCTCAGGAGTGCTTCCAGCAGACCAAATGGCATCACGCTGGTGTAAAAGCAGCAGCAATGAGAGAAGAATGAACCCCCCTGTTAATAATTCATTCAGAGAGGTGTTACAGGATTTGCTCCAGCCTCATGTCGTGTTTTCTTATCTACCAACCATTGGACGTAGTTCAGCAGAAGGAAGAAAGCAGGATGCAGGCATGGCCGTCGCTTGCACTGCTGAAACCTGGATGTCTGTGTCCTCTCACAGGGCTTGTGGGTGGGAGTAGCATATGTAACATAAGTGCAGTGACTTTGTGCTGCATGGATTGCAATTGAGCTGTCCCGTATAGCAGCAAATGAAAGCTACTTTGACAAGGGCCGAGGCTATATCCAAATAAGCCCTTGATTTGGCAATTAATTGGCGTTTTGGTTAACACAGTAAATTTGGTCTTAAAACAATCAAGTTAGAATTTGAATAACATCCAAAACTAAAAGATGAAATTAACACAAAAAAAAAAAAAAAAAAAAGAAAGAAATGGAGAAGTCATCAGGAGTGGGCCTATACAGGGGAAAAAAAATGGTCAAGCAGCTTTTCCGGTGTGAAAATTAGCTTCATTCATAAATGCACAAAATATAAATCTGGATTTTGAAAGATCTACATAATTTTGTATTGTATATTGTAGATGAGGCTGCTGCTATACATGCATGAAAACCGTTTCACTCTTCCGGGTATTCTTCTTCCTCAGCAATGCAAAAATTTTGGGGAAACGAATGTTACAATATTAGCTTGTCAGAAAATTGGACACTAATAAGCAAGAAAACAAGAGCTGACATTTTCCATAATCAGCTTCACAATTGAACAAAATTTAATTTTTATGGATCAATATCACCTTGTCTCAGTTTCAGAAATGTAGATGGAGAAGAGGAAGAGCTTAATGTCTGCCTACCAGATTTTAATCTCCAAAGCATGAGACAGGGATGCAGACAAATTCAGGTAGCGGGGCTGATGTCCGCAGCAACGCTGTCAGGCAGCTTTGCCTAGACCATGCAATGGCAGCATCTCCAAAAGCTGTGAATATGAAGAAACATTGCAGGCATAGGAAAGGGAAAACTACATTTTGTGATAGTGTGCTTCCCTCAGAAAATGTATGGTTTTACACAGGGGTTTACAGCCCTGCCTTGGTGGGTAGGAACTTCACAGCATGTCACAGGAAAAAATAATGCATTTTTTGTTAAATTAGAATGGTTTCACTGTTTTAATCATGCATACTGATCAGACAAGGGAAGTTGGCTTAGTACAGTATGTCTCAATCAGCTATTATTTAAATAACCAAAATTTATCATAGCTGGAGTTCACATCCCAAGGACTATGGAGGCCTGAGTTCAGTAAAAGATTTCAGAAATCTTTTTTGGTCTATTTTGAGACACTGTGATGTATCCCAGCCGTTTCCAATTAATCATATGATTATTAAAGATGGTTTGGCTGAAGTGTGTTATCCAGTAGGATCTGAGAGGTCACGATGACTTTGCAGATTGTTCCTGAATAAAAAGATTCCTCTTGAAAAAGCATCATCCTATGGGTGAGATGCCAACAGATTAGCTCTTCAATTACAAAAGGAAAAAAATAATCATGTGTGAAGCCTTTAATGGTGGTCTGGCTTTTTAGGTAGTGTTAGTAGTTACCCACCTGTCACCATGGGTTCAGCCTAATTAATCAAGGGTGCACAACAGCTTGTTAGCGAAGTGTTTGTATAAGTGCTGACATTAATTCTGTTTCATCTCTCCTGTTTCACCCAAGGTGGTGGTCAATGCCCTCGTGGGAGCCATCCCTTCCATCATGAACGTTCTGCTCGTCTGCCTCATCTTCTGGCTTATCTTCAGCATCATGGGAGTGAACCTGTTTGCTGGGAAATTTGGGAAGTGCATTAATAAGACAGAAGGAGATATGCCTTTAGACTCTAAAATTATTAACAACATGAGTGACTGTATACTCTATAATGTGTCAGGCACGTTTTACTGGACAAAAGTTAAAGTTAACTTCGATAACGTTGGTGCTGGGTACCTGGCTCTGCTACAAGTGGTAAGTGTGACCACCAGAAACTAAACTAATGGGCAAATGTTGCTTGTTCCCATTGAAATCATCAGCTTAAAGGCTCAGGTTAACCTCTATGCTTTTCTGGGTTTTTCAGCCTTACCTATCAGGGGAATGCCTTTCCTCAAGTGTAAATGAGTCACATTTGGTGTATTAATTTGGCCTAGAAATATTTGTGGCAGCTTCTGGTTTTAATTTGAGTTTCTGGTGCATCACTAATGTAGTCCTCTGGTAGGTGATTGGAATATTGAGGTGAATTAAAGACCATTTTGTCAATATTGTAATCCAGAGCAAAGTTCAGTTCCAGAAACAAAAAGTCATGGCCTAGGAAGGACTGTTCGTGCAGACAGAATGCACTGGCCTTCCTGAACTGCCTGGGACTTCACTATACCCTGCTGGGAATAAGTGAAGTTACAGTACCTTCAGTTACTCAGCTGAAGTTATTGCATAAAGCTGGAGTCACAGAGTAATCTTAATTTACAGTCCTCTGCTCACCTTCCATGGCGATGTTCAAGGACAGTGGTGCCTCTCATTCTGGTTCCTCACCTCACTTCCACCTGCTAAACATGATGAGTCAGACTGAACCTAACTATGAAACGTGGTGGCGATCAGATTGCTGTAACTCCATACAGCCTGGTCTCTCCGGAAAGGTGGCGAGAGCGTATCAGAGATGAGACTGTTGAGGTTCAAAGATGACGGCAATATTTGATCTATAATGTAAGCAACTTTTACAACCTTTCTCAGCAGCAAATGTAAAACATGGATAAACAGGTTGTATGCACAGAGATTTACTGTGTTGTGATTCAGCACAACCTAATGGATAGAGCCACAGGAGACTCCATCTTCTTGTCCAGGCTCTGCCGCTGGACAGCTGAGTGATTTTAGACAAATTGCTTTCTGTTTCAATTCCATGGGGCCCTCATGTGAAATAGGGGTAATGATACATATTTCCATTGTTCCCAATTTGCTCTGAAGCCTACTGATGACAAGGGCTGGATACGCACTAGGGGTGTTTGTTGTGTTGCATTTTATGTACGCAGAGTGAAACAAGTCCCTCGCTACATCCTTGGACAGGGAGGTTACTGTCTTGAAGCGCCTGTGATGGCATTCCTTGCTTCTGGGATAAAAACTTGCATGCTGGGAGCTCAATTCAGTTGTCACGTATAGACATCCACCCTTTGCAATGCGGTAGGGTACTGCCCCCGAGCCCCCACCTGCCCTTCCAAGAGGGCATGAGCCTCCCACAGGTCCCCCATCAGATCTGCCAGCCCTTCTCCTTCCTGTGATGCAAATTTGCTTTCTCCCAGATCTTTTTTTCTCTGTCACAGATGCATGAAGTAGCATTCCTTTCTTGTAGAAATGCTTATCCCTATTACTCTGTTCCTGGTACACATACACTTGAGTTTGAGATCTTCTGACCACTGTCCATCGAGTCGTTGCTTTCATACCTTCTGGAAAGCAGAAAGGTTAGAAAGGGCACAACCACTTCTGGTTCTTTCTATGACATAAAGCTGAACTTGCTGAGAGCAAAAGCTTTTATCTTTTGCATGTAATTACGATATTCAGCTCACCCGTGCAGGGTAGATTAATTCACTTTGAATGTCTTTAATTAGATTTTCTATTCTATATAGTGCTTTCTTTGTCTTTTATTTAAACATCCAATCTAGCTGAGCAAACATTTCCAGGTTTAAAATACTATGCCTCACCTGAAGTTTCTTATCTTCTCCATGACTGCATAACAGATGCCTAGTTTGTTTGGTGAAAAAAAACTCCATCGGGGTAGTAGTTATTCCTTCACCATGTCTTCTATAAGGCTCAAACTCCAGCTTTCTGAAAATCTGCAGCTTTTCATAAACTGGCATTGCCTAAGGAGTATCCTGAAGCAGTCTCTTCTGCTGTTCTGCAGTATCAGTTCCTGGGCACTTGACACTGGTAATACTGGCTGCATTCAGAGGTGGGACTGCCTTCTGCTGGGGTCGGTGACGGCAGCAAAAACATAACTGGTAATGAGGTGGATCTCGGAACATTTATGAAGGGACAGTCTAGTACTGCTGTTTTCCAGCTGAAAATGGATTTGATGACCCTGCAGGTTTCTTTCAAAACTGTGATCCTGTACCGAGTAGCAGAGAAGTAGGTTTTCCAGTTGCAGAAGTACAAAAGAAGTGCCATAAATGTACAGCCTGTGCAGGCTGGACAAACTGATTATGGCAGGAAATGAGGGAGCCCTAAAACGTTGCTCAGCTTCTATGGCAGGTGCTGGCTCCTTCTTCCAGGAGGAAGGGCAGGAGCCAGATGCCATTAGGGGATTGATTTTAACTTTCATCCTGCACCTGGAGCTCTTATGTCTGCTGCTAATGACAGTCTTAGGCAATAAAGTGTAAAGATGACACCCACAGAGAAAGGGACCAAACATCTGGATATCTTTTGCCAGACTCCAGCCGAGGAGTGTCGATTACAGGTGCTCCTTGCCAAATATCCTCCATGTGGAGTCGCATTTCATGAGCAAACTACCGTAGGAACCGCAGGGGATCAGCTAACAGCTCAGCTCTCCTAAAGAGACAGACACATCGATGCATCTTTGTGCCTGCTGAGACAGTGCGTAGCAATGATGAGATAAGCATTTTGGTTACAACCCTCCGGGATCCAAAATATGAGCTTTTAAGTGGGACTTGTCTTTTGACTGTTGACATTTTCAGCTGCTGCAACACACCTTTTAAATGACTCCGAAGTTACCTTTGGATGGCTGAATGTGTCTGAAAATCCAAATGGAAATACGTAAAACAAATCTATCTGCTTAATGTTCTGTCTTCATTTCTACAGCATCCTTGAAAGAAATGAGAAGTTCCTACTATGGAAACTCCAAGGCTTACTACTATCCAGAGGCAAACTTTCTGACAATGTAGTTGATAACTGCATGAAACTTTCCCCAAATATCCTTCGCTCTTTTCCTACCTTGTTTCTGATCCATCATGTTGTTCTGAAGATGCCACTTTGAATTAATGAGTCTGCGAAAACATTCGTGTGGAGTGGTCAGTCAAGTTTCAAGCTTCTCCAACTAACAAACGTGCTGTCTCACAACAGATTAATAAAATAGGAGGCAGTCTCTGCTCACTCTACAAGCAAGAGAAATGCCTCATTCACGGGGAGGAAAAGATCTTTATTATCAAGACTTTTTAATTTGCAAGAAGGATGATTCACTCTTCTGGGGATTTCACACCCTTAACACCCTAATCTATTAGGAAATAGTTATTGCTACAATGCAGTGCTTCAGTAATGCTTTTTCTGTATTCCCAAAATTGCTTTGCAGATCACAGCGCCTATGTTCTATAAATCCGTATTTGAGCTGAACAAAGAAATATCTTAAATTTCCAGTAGGAGTTTTGCATTTCCCTTGTGGAATCCTTCCCTTCATGTTATGATCACCTCCGCATTTTTTTTTGCAACATATCTTGAAATTTCAGCAATCTGTTGAAGAACACCAAGAAAATAAGTGGTCTCTCACGCAGCATCTGGCTTGCTTGGAAAAGTTCTCCTTAGACAGGAACAGACTTACATCTAATATGTCCTACAACTCTTTGTCACTCTGGGACTCCAGATAAGGAATGGGAAAAGAACAGAAGCACTCCTAGACCAGTGCAGCAATCAGGAGCTGTAGAGTTAAATCAACCCCTCATGCCAGGTTCGAAGTCATGACTGAGCTCATAAATCAGCTACAAAATGGTCATGAGACAGCGGCGTGTGTCTAAAGTTACTGAGTTACGTGATCTATTGCACTTTTGTAAACTGAAATGCTAGATTTTGCTTTCACTGTGCAAAAAATCTGTGCTTCTGAACAAATCATAAATTGGTGCGCCAGGCTAGATTTCTCCGTGTGTCCAAAGTTCAGCAGTATTTCCACAAGGAATTGCTGGTGGAAATTCAAGGGGAGCGGAGGCAGCACCCTTGGAGCCCACGTAGCCCAGCACAGTGCAGACTTCTGGGGTGCTCTGGTGGGTCCAATGCTCGGTGGTGCCCTCCCCAGCAAATGGTCTTAACGCAAAATAAATGTAAAAAGAATGTTCGGTATAAAATTGCTGCTACCATGAAATCAAACAAACTGACAAATTCAACAGAAAAGCCAGCAGACAGTGAAGTTAGCACAGCCAACTTAAATATGTGTAGTTTGGTTGTACTGTTGGTGGCTCTGTTTAGCTTTCAGAAGTTTCTCTCACCAACAGTAGTGCTTAAAGAAGCATTTCAGAAATACAAAGATCAGTATTTCTGCCATCATAAGCAGCCATTTTTACTGCACTATCGCAGTCCTTTTCTAGAAAAAAAAATCCCCCTCACAGATTTAAAGGCTTCTTTTATTTTAAGGCACCATTTGGTTATACAATAAATGGTTTGAGGGCAGCTAGTACCATCCCACCTATCCTTCTCCTCACTAATTTACTGCATAGCAGCTCTAACCACCAGTCAAATAACAAAATGTAATCCCATCCCAAGATGAGTTTATCGGTAGATAATCTCATCACATGACAGTTTCAGTAGAAAACGGTGTTTCTCTGGATAGCTTCCAGGCAGGATAATATCACAAACACTCCCATGAAGATTTTGTCACTTCCTTATCCAGCGTGTAAGTGGTTACTAATTCCAGATAAATAATTTCTTTTCCCAGTGTTATATTTCTTTCATTCTCAGTATCTTTTACCCTCTGCAGATGAAGTGTCTAGGGAAGCTTTCCAGAAGCCCTGTGGATTTTTAATTCTCTCACTTCTGGACAAGTGGGAAAACAGAAAATCACAGTCCTTCATTCTCTTAATATTTATTTTTGTCAGATCACTTCATCATCTGTTATCACTATAAACCACTGTGCCTTGCAGTAGAGTCTCTCGTGTCTGTGGTACACATCAAGGGGTAAAATAGCTACTCAAGAGAAAAGATTTCCTCCCAAGTGGGAGAAAAGTACAGTGGGAGAACAGGATTTCTTGCCATCCACCCTTCCTGAACGGCACTTTGAGCTAGAAGCTGCAAGCGACTATAATGACACCAGAAAATCTTTCATGAGATTAGAAAGAGATCCGCAAAAAAGGAAAATATTATAACAGTTAAGAGGGATCAGCATGACAGGTTCAAATAATTATTTGTTTCAATAAAACTGCTGATCATTCCTATAAACACTTTACATCTAAAGTGTTTTTTAAGACACAGTACCATGGAATAGATTTTCCAAAGGGTTCTGATTTTGGGGATTTAATCTTTTCCAACCAGTAGATAAAAATGAATGCAACTTTTCAAACATTATTTTATATATACTTTCATGAGAAATATGGTTGGCCTCTTGTATGACATTTTCCTTTGGCTCAGTAGCCTTCAGAGGGCAATGGGAAGGCAGTGTTACCTCCAGGATTTAATTTAATAATGGAGAAGGTATAATGGAGCATTTCTAAAACCGCTGGATGTACCTAGCTCAACACAAATGCCTGGGTTCTCTTGGGAACCACTGGCAAAATTCCTACTAGCATTATCTGGAATTGCATGCCTGCACACTATGGGGAAAATTCAACCTAGGTGTCAGTAGGATTCAAAAAAATATTGGGCTTGGGTCTTCCATGCATGCTAGCGTAAATCTGATTAAATCACTAAATTTAAAAACACCTCATTATCTGCTTACACTGATTTTAAATCCAGGGTAAGTCTAAATGGCTCAGAAATCAAATGAGAAAGAACCCCAGAGAACTAATATAAAGGCAATGTGGCTTAGACCAGAGTCAGACCTAAAGCCGGGTATGTTTGGCATCAGGCTGTGTCTAATGAGAGGCATATATTGGGGGCAGAGTGTCATGGTTTTGCTACAGAATAGTAAAAATCACTTCTATGTGTTTCTCCTAGGAGTGTTGGCACTGCCCTTTCTCCACTGCAGGTTCCAGTATGAGACACTGATTTCTGTGGAATCCCTCTTTGTTTAAACAATTTAAAAAAAAAAAATTAAAACCCTGATTTAAAAAAAAAATAAAATCGGAACAGCAAAGCAGATTGAGTTTCCAGGGCCAGGCTCGCAGCAGATGTTGATTGCCTTTGCTCCTTTCAAGTCAGCTGCGATTTATGTGACTCCCTAGGCTGAGTCCCTTTGACGTTGCCTTAATTTACCCTGTTTTAAAAGAGGGCAGAATCCAAGCTTCAGTGGGATCCTACAACGTAGTCACTGCCCATCAGTCTGAACAAGCAATACGGAAGGGGTCCATCTCACCTGGTCCGAGACTTGTGCAGGGCAGCACTCTGAGTTGTCCTGTGTAGCTGTATCTCTTCATTACTCGAATTTCTTAAGGTCAAAACTTCCAAAGATTTAATTGCCATGTTTTCTCTCCTTTTTAAAATCTCTTTTAAAAACCTGTGTTTTATCCTTACAACTGCAGAAAATCAGAAAACATGAAACTAGGATAAAACCATTCTGGAATAATTTTAAACCTCTAAATGAACATAAACTCATGGATACATATTGCTTTAAGGGAGAAGCAATTCATTAACTTTGAAGAACATGTTCAACATTGCATTTTGAATACTCATCACAGAGATGGTATCGTTTCAAGATATGCTTATTTAATATGCTTAATTATGTATTTTGTGGGGTTTTTTTCAGGCCACATTTAAAGGTTGGATGGATATTATGTATGCAGCAGTGGATTCACGAGAGGTAGGTCACTACAAGAAAAGGAATCATTTCCTTTTCCGTTGACTTTTGCAGCATTCGTGGTATTTAATAACAACAACAAAAAATACATGCAGGTTGCCATTGTCTTACTCTGGTTGAGACAGTGGCAGCTGGTAGTGAAGCATCATAACCCTGAGATTAAAACAAATGCAGCCTTCAGTTCTACACAACTGATTTATCTATTCGTACTGCAAAACTCCCAGCACAGAGAGGCACCTCCAGGGTGAGATCGAGTCTACCAAAAACCTAAATTGTCCTCTCTGTTTCTTCCATTCTCCCCGTTGACTGCCATATTTTCCACAGATCTAACTTCTGATAATAGAACCTCTTTAAAAGCGTTGGGTTTAAATTACATTCCCCTGTAACCCACATACTCAAATATCTTCACCTTGAGCAAGATTCTTCACTTCAACCAGCAGCTCTACTCCAGCGAGTCTACCAAAAACCTAAATTGTCCTCTCTGTTTCTTCCATTCTCCCCGTTGACTGCCATATTTTCCACAGATCTAACTTCTGATAATAGAACCTCTTTAAAAGCGTTGGGTTTAAATTACATTCCCCTGTAACCCACATACTCAAATATCTTCACCTTGAGCAAGATTCTTCACTTCAACCAGCAGCTCTACTCCAGGAGGGTGGAGAGAGCACAGAGAGGCACCTCCAGGGTGAGATCGAGTCTACCAAAAACCTAAATTGTCCTCTCTGTTTCTTCCATTCTCCCCGTTGACTGCCATATTTTCCACAGATCTAACTTCTGATAATAGAACCTCTTTAAAAGCGTTGGGTTTAAATTACATTCCCCTGTAACCCACATACTCAAATATCTTCACCTTGAGCAAGATTCTTCACTTCAACCAGCAGCTCTGCTCCAGGAGGGTGGAGAGCTCCGGGCAGGGAAAGAGGCTGGTGTGAGCTTCCAGCTCTGGCTTCAGGCATGCTGGAGCTCTGGGTGCTGGTAGCTACCCTGGGCTGGCAAACAATTCCTACCTACATCCCATTCAGCTTTCAGGTTTCCTTAAAAAAAAAAAAAAAAAGCATTTCCCTTGCTACATCACGTGTGGTTTGTTTATTTTTTATTGAAGGAGATGTTGTCTCCTTTTCCTTTTTTAATAATATTAAAGGAACAAGATTACATTTACTGTTAATTTTTGAGGCAGCTGCCTGGTATTCGGAATTTGACAGGCTGAATTGAGTAACAGGGAGTCGAGCCCTAAATGGAGGAATAAGGGGTGGAAAAAAACCTCATGGCTTCATAGGGGCAGAGAAGTACCTTTGCATAACATAGCTAATGATGTTGATTTATTCTTGTACTACATGTACGCATGTGTGTGTCCTCCCTGCTGCTGAATGAAACGCATGGGTTACACAAGAGAAAATGCAGCATTTAGGGAAATGCGAACTTCTGGCATCTTGGTTAGATACCTGGAGCTGGTGGGGCAAATCTAAGCATTTTTGCCAAATGTGGTACATGTGATTTGAGGCTATCAGACTGCGTTGTGCAGTTCTTCAGCAAGGGATGTTATTCATTTCCACCCTTCATAGAGAAAAATTGTACTTCTAAATACAGTGTTTTTCAGTAGCATTTAATTATACTGCGATCATACTTTTGCTTTTTTTAAGTACCGTTAGTTCATATAAGATTAGGGATAATCAAAAAATTGATTCTTTTCCCCTTCTGCGTTCAGACTAAGAACATTTTATAGGGTTTATTCTGAAGTTGCTCTTTTTGAAGCAGTGTGATTGCTGTGACAGTGTTGTGAAATGTAGCTGAAATCACCATGGCATGCTCGTAGTAAACTTCAAATAGACACCATGGAGCACTGACTCTGCTAGTGGGAGTTACACTATTTTTCCTGTTTCATAATCTTTATTGCCAATGGACAGTTTTCTTTCAGCTGCATTAATATTTTGATATGTGCAGAGATGGTGTCATTTTCACATTTTCCCTTTTCCCTTTGCAGTGTGAGGAGCAGCCTGAATGGGAATGTAATTTATACATGTACCTGTACTTTGTGATTTTCATCATCTTCGGGTCTTTCTTCACATTGAACCTCTTCATTGGTGTCATCATTGACAATTTTAACCAACAAAAGAAAAAGATAAGTAGTGCATATGCTACACATCACCTTGTGATTGCTGCAGAGACCAGGGCAAGGGACAGATTTATCAGCAGTGGCTTTGCCACATTAGCCTTGAGATTAGCATTGACAGAAGAGCTGGAGAAACCACCTTGCAGGACTTTTACAAAAATCACAGTTGTAGCAGCCCCTAATGTCCCCACAGGATGAGCATCCTGCAAATACAGGCTGGGGGATTATATTCCCCACAGAAAGTGGTGAAGCAGCTCCATGCAAACGGGATCTCTGGCACAAACTCTGCCGCAGGGGCACTGGTGTCCCCCATGCACAAACACCACCGTCCCTCAGAGCAGTGCAACCTGTTCTCCTCAACCCATCGCCTCCCAGCCCCAAGGTGCAGCCAGGGTCAGGGAGGAGCAGCCTGGCCTGAGAACTGTGTTTCTCGCTGCTCTGTAGGCTCTAAACAAAGGGCTGAGGTTCTTCTGTTTTCCCCTCTTGCCCTGGACCTACCTGGAGCGCAGACAGAATCTGACTCTTGCTCCTCCTTGGTTACCTGCACTGCTCCGAGTCTCCTGCCCTTCGCCTCCATGCAATAAGCAGCTCCCAGCACTTCATCTCATCAAGCCCTTCTTAGATATTTTGATGAAAGCTACATGAAAAGGGAAATAAGAAAACAGAAGATGCAGCCTGAACTTTGGATGGAGGCAGTGGACTTCTTTTCATCAAAAGTAATAGCTTTGTTCTCACCCTATACTTAGGTGGCCAGGATATCTTTATGACAGAAGAACAGAAAAAGTATTATAATGCAATGAAAAAGTTGGGATCTAAGAAACCTCAAAAGCCAATCCCAAGGCCACTGGTAAGAATGGCATAATTCAGTTGAACTATGTGTAATAGCTCAATATTTATTGAATAGAATGAATGCAAGTCAACTTCCCAGTGTAGGAAGAGTGATTGCTTCCAGATGAAAGCCACTTAGTATTTATATGTTTTGATTTTGGACAGTATTTGCAAGTCCAGTGACCTGTGTGGTACAAAAATTCCCATTGTTCCGCAATATTGACTAAAAGTCCAATTTACATGTGCAGTCATGGCAGTGGCCACATGCCTGCATTGAATGAATTCATGGCCCCAGTCCAAGGTCCTTTTTCAGTAGTTTCAAGAAGCATTAGGAGTCACTGAGTTTGAAAAATCTATCATCCAACCATTTGTCATCATCTTTATGTTTATGAAGTTCTAATCAGAAGCAGTACATTCTTTATTTTCCTCTACTTTCTGATTGATCAGGAGACAATGATGTCATCATTTTGACACAGTTCAAATTTCCCAAATCTTAACTAAATCTTCTCCTTTCCTCCAGAACAAATACCAAGGTTTTATTTTTGATGTTGTCTCAAAACAAGCCTTTGATGTCTCCATCATGATTCTCATCTGCCTTAACATGGTTACCATGATGGTGGAAACGGATGACCAAAGTCAAGAAAAAGTGAACATCCTCCATAAAATCAACATGCTTTTTGTTGCCATCTTCACTGGGGAGTGCATCATCAAAATGCTGGCTCTGCGACACTACTACTTCACCAACGGCTGGAACATATTTGACTTTGTCGTCGTGATTCTGTCTATCGTAGGTAGGTGAATTTGGATTTTCACCCAAACTCCAAACTTAAAAAGGCAGACATAAATTTAATTAGACAAAGTTGAAGGCTTCATGCAATAAAATACACTTTCAACTCAGAGAATTAGATCCTAAGCATATTTCTTTTAATATTTAAATAATACAACATAATACTGCCTAACAATAACTTGTGTGATCAGCGAAATTATGAGGTTTATCACATCACAGCATTGATTTCAATGTACACTTAATGGTTCCTTGTGATAACACATGGTCCAGAACTGGCACCATACACTTAACCCCAGTTCTGCATAACAGCCAAAGACAGAGAAGTAAAAAAGCCACGTGAAAAGGGCACATGAGACTACTATTGTTTTGCTATTTACTTTTATTACATCAGTGTGAAATAGCCCTTCAGGGCAGGTTTGGGCAGGTGCAGTGAGTCTGGCTGTTCTCAGCCCTGTTGTCTCTGGAGCTCCGAATCCTCATCTACCCATGGGACAAATTGTTAATTTATGCCTTTTGCTGTCCTGTAGCCCCAACCATAGGTCGTATGTTAGGTGCTTACAGAAGTGCAGGTCAAATGTGAATCTGAAATCCTGCCAGAAGAGTTTTCATTGAAGATGGAAGTAAAGTAGTAACTGGAAGATGATCAACTGATCCAGTGAGCAGAAGGAACTCAGAAGTTTGGCTCTTCCAATATTGTTTTCATTTTGAAGGAGGGAATAGGTGAATGAAAAACTACCATGTTAGGAAAACAGAGCCATCTTCTCATTGACTGATACTTCTGTTGCTCTAAACTCCCTCTGGTGGACCAAGGAGCCTGCAAGGTCCCAATGCAGGAGATCCCTAGCGTCCAGAGAGCAGCCTGTGCTTTGGGGGCCTTGGATCAGCCAAGAGTACCTGGATTTCAGAGATTTGGGTCACCCAGTGAACATCATTACCATACAACTGTCATCAGAGCCTTGATGCTGGATGCTCAGGATATGCCCATAGCAGCTGGTTAACCAGAGCTGTCACATTGGTCATAGTGCTGCCCCGTGATCAACCAGGTCATTTCAGTGCCAGGGGACTTGGGCCATGCCAGTGAGCCCTCTCCCAGGCTGGGCTCAGCACGGCTCAGTGCAACCGGGGTCTGTTGGCATTAGACAATCTAGACCAAGCTGCTCTTTTCTGCAGGAAGAGTTTAGCTACAGGGATGCAAGCTCATTTCCTTGCTAGTACAGTCTTAGCCCTTAGTTCCCTCCCAGCCTGTCAGGGAAACTGGAAAAATTAATAAGCAATCAAACAACCAAGCAGATTTCCAGTAGAAACCTGCACTGTTCTGGTGGTGGCTCAGAAAACAGGTCCAGCTCACCAGCTTTTCAGTGCTGACTCACAAACACTGTATAGACAAAATATTGTCAAGTCAGAGAAATTCTGACCAGCTACACTCAGGATAAATGGCTCAGGTGACCAAAAGTCATGACCAAAAGCTGCAGATAGGTGTGTCCCATCCGAGTTGATCCTGGTTTCTCATTCCCAATAGACCGGCTTTCCCTTAATAAAGCTACGGCTACTGTTGACACCTTTGCTCATAGTCTCAAAAGTTTGCATGGATTAAATGGGCATGAAAATGCTAACGACAATGCCATTCCCTTTATCATAGGTCTTTCAGTTTGGGGAACTTTTCCTTGATTTTTTCCGTAATCCTGACTGATTGCTTTAAAGGGAAGCCTGGGATTATTTCCCACGTACTAACTCACCATCTCTTTTCTTTTCAAGGCACCGTACTTTCTGACATCATCCAGAAATATTTCTTCTCTCCCACACTCTTCAGAGTCATTCGCTTGGCTCGGATTGGCCGGATCCTAAGACTCATCCGGGGAGCCAAAGGAATTCGAACTCTCCTGTTTGCCTTAATGATGTCCCTACCTGCTCTGTTCAACATTGGCCTCTTGCTTTTTCTGGTCATGTTCATTTACGCCATTTTTGGCATGGCTAACTTTGCCTATGTTAAGAAGGAGTATGGGATTGATGACATGTTCAACTTCCAAACTTTTGCTAACAGCATGCTCTGTCTCTTCCAAATCACAACGTCAGCTGGCTGGGATGGTCTTCTCAACCCTATTTTAAATACTGGGCCGCCGTATTGCGACCCAAACCTTCTGAATGCAAATGGTTCAAAGGGAGACTGTGGAAGCCCTGCCGTAGGGATTTTATTCTTTGTTACTTATATCATTATATCATTTCTCATTGTTGTAAACATGTATATAGCTATTATTTTAGAGAACTTCAGTGTAGCCACTGAGGAAAGTACAGAGCCTCTAAGCGAGGATGATTTTGATATGTTCTATGAAATCTGGGAGAAGTTTGACCCTGAAGCCACTCAGTTTATTGAGTATTCTGCACTTTCAGACTTTGCAGACGCGCTGTCAGAACCTTTGCGCATAGCGAAACCAAACAAAATCAAACTCATAGCAATGGACCTGCCCATGGTCAGTGGAGATAGGATCCATTGCTTGGATATTTTGTTTGCTTTTACAAAAAGGGTGCTAGGAGAATCTGGAGAGATGGATGCCCTTAAAATACAGATGGAAGAAAAGTTCATGGCGGCGAATCCGTCTAAGATCTCTTATGAACCGATTACAACAACTCTCAGACGGAAACAAGAAGAGGTCTCCGCCATCATCATCCAGCGGGCCTACAGGAGACATTTGTTTCGGCGCTCCATGAAGCAGGCATCTTACTTGTACCGGCACAGAACTTTTGATGGTAGCATCCTCGAGGACGATGCACCCGAGAAGGAGGGTCTTATTGCGTTCATGATGAACGAAAACTACGGCAGGCCAATAGACAAATCAGAAACTCTGTCCTCCACATCTTTCCCTCCATCCTACGACAGCGTCACCAGAGGTACGAGTGATAATCTCCAGCTGAAGATAACGGACTCGAGCAAAAGTGATGAGGCTATAGATTGTCTTCTCTCACCAGACAAGGATAAAGAATCAATTGTTTAAATGTTTGTTTAGAATGCTTTAAAATATTGTTTACAGAATGTAACGCTGTAACTACACAATGATTGAAGCAGCCTTCTTATTAAAAATTAGTTGCAAAAGAAACAATGGAGTTTTTACCCTTAACTACAGGAGTCTAATAAGTCATATAACCTTTGACCCTGCTCTTTTTGACTTGGCTCAATATTTATATTTATATATGCACAGGAAGAATCTTTGCAGGGTCATAGCTGTTATATCAATGGTGTGAATAAGAATATGCTAGACTGTAAAACAGTAAACACAGTGTATATCTATCCACAGATAAAGCCTGGCTGTATACATTCATTTAAGGTCTTACTCATATTAGTGTGTTTACTTATGGCGATGTATGACCTTGCATTCTAAAAAGAAAAAAAAAATATCACAGCTGCTGTAGCAAAATGTAACACTTACTGTATATGTTGTGAATGGTCTTTCATAAATTTATTATATTTGATATTTTTTTACATAAAAAAAATTTCTCTTTTTCCATGGAGATTAATGATCCTTACGCTCTTCATGATGAACTCTGAGTCAAGATAATAGGAATTTGCAGGATACCCATCGTTTCTAGAGGAAAGTTGTTGCAAAGTAAACTATCAAATCAGCAACATTTTAACTGTTTATTACACTAAGCCGTCCCTCTTGGAACTTGCAACTGCTCATCAGCAGAAGTACAAAAAAACAGAGAAGGAAATGATGTCAAAATAATGAGAGAAGTGGCTTGTTCTATCCTTCAGGAAACTAGACAGTAATGGATTCTGTTTGTAAAACTGTTAATAAAAGCACTAATTTTTTAGTATGTTTCAAGAATCTGCTTTGAATACCGCAATCAAACTCACCATAGAAGTAGCGCATCACGTTTGTGTGTAGTGCTCCTAAGCACCATCTACGCTGGCAAAGTTTCTGTTAAGTAGTGGGATAGGCTATGTTTTCCCCAGGAACACCGAGCTAAGCAGCCTTATTGGAAAATCTGTGCATCAATATTGCTCCAAAAATACTACTACTACTACTAGTAATAATAATAAAAACAACGCTAATTGGACCATGCAGAACGGCTGCCGGCAGTGTGATCAAGAAGGTGGGAGGGGAATTGCCTCTGGATCTGTACCTAAATTTTGAGGTTTTGAATCATTTCTAATCAGTGTCTATCTTTCATTTTCTCAGACGGTACAGTTAGATTATTGGGGAAGGATAAGAAATACAGAAACCAATAAAAAGAATCTACTAGAAAATAGATACATCCTCATTCTTATAGGCAAAGTAATATTTACAGTTGATGTGTCCATCAGCTTCAGGCCAAAGAAATGACAACGGGGGTGAAAGGTGGGTGTGTGGCTGTAGAAAAGTATTAGAGGTTTTACGTGCTAACATAGATTATTATTTATTATTAAACTTTCAGCCTCGATAGAATATGAGGAAGTATTTATGGAATATAGAGACAAGTCCATCATTACAGACAAGTTCTTTCTTTTTCAGCTTCAGACTGATTGTACTTGGGTTTGGTTGGACTTCATGGAAAATCTTGAGATTTCTGTAATGAGCCATTGCACTTTAAGGAAGAGTGTGCTTTTCACCTTGGAGAAGCAAAAATATCAAGAATGTATTTAAGGTGTATTGTCATTCACATTTAGTTACATCCCAGGTTGTAAAGGAGTCAAAATCCACATGGGGTGGGCAACAAGAATTAAAGCGACATGTTACAGTCAAGTTTATCTATGGCCATTGTTATCTGTCCTCTAAACAAGTCAGAACATGTAAAGACAACATGTCAAAAGCATGACTATGTATCTGTGTAAATATGGGCTAATATATTCTCTCCATTCATTGAGAGGTGTCTCAGGCATTCACTTGAGAGTGGTCTATCAGTTAATTCAGAGGATTTGCCATCAGGATTCCTGGGGTCTATTCCTGATTCTTACTACATGATTTTTAGGCAAATAATTTAACCTATCTGTGCCTCAGTTTACCCATCTGTAAAATGGGGATAATAATACTTACCTACCTCACAGGGGTGTTGTAAGACTTTCTGGTTGCAAAGTGCTATAAGGGAATGAACCGTACTATATAAGTATTATTATAATCATGCTCTCTTGCCCTTTTAACCCCATGTCTATGGTATATAACATAGGGCTGTTCCTCGGGGGATTTTGTTGCCTTTAAATCTTGTATGTAATTAGATTCTAACTTAAGGGAACTACACTTCGTTCCTTAAAGTGAAAACACTCTTTATTCTTTCCTCCCTCCCCACCCCTAACCCCCAAAAAACCAAAATTGCTCAAGGCTTCTCAAATTAGAGAAACTTTATACAGATTCCCTGTGTATTTATGCTGTAATGTTATTCTGACTGTACATATCACCCAGAAAGAGTATGCGATTTTTATATTTATATGCATATATATATATACACACATACGTATATCTATACATAGGTATGTATCTTGTGAGTTTATAGAGTGGCTGACACTCAGAGGACACAACTTACTGATTAAAATGTTTTATTCTCAATGGGATTTATTGATCATTAGCAACGAGCTGCTACCTATAATGAAACTGTTTAATTAGAAAATAGTACATTCATTACTCGCTGAACAAGCATTTATTGGCTGACAACTGGTAAGATTATTTTCCTTTCCAAGCTTTAGAATAAAAAAAAAGAGGGAAAAATACTAAGAAAAAGGAGCATTTCTTACGTGATTTTTTCACATACAACGTAAACTGTTCAAAACCCAAGGAAAAAGTCAGTCTGCACTCAGCAGCACGGTGTTGGTCATGCTGTTTTAGAAATATTTTAATTATTTTCAACTTATCTTAGAAAATATTCAACTGATATTCTTATTAAGAGTCAGGCCCAGTAACGAACGGGATGTAATGGGACGGTTAGCTGGTCACTGATTATATTAGAGAAGAGCTCTTCCTCTGGTCATTTCACCCTTGCATCGAACATTCTATTGTCATTGTTGTGAGTTCCTGTAGTACTGATGCAATTACAAATGGTTCTGTCTTCTACCCAAAACCTGTAAAAAAAAAACATAATGCAAAAAAATCTGAAAGAGGGTCTTAACTACAGATGTTTACAGTGCAACTTTCTAAAACTGAATTGTAAATTACTTTCAAAACCGTTGTAACTGGAAGGTTGGTTTTCTATTGGGTTTTCGATTGTTTGGTGGCACATTTCTTTAGAGCTGAAGAGGGAATGGTGTCTTTGTATGGTGTGCAGAACTCCCCTCAAAAATATCAAATAACCTCACTTGCAGACCTTTATTAATGGAGATGCCGATCCGAATCTAGCAATGATACAACCTCCCGGTGCAGTAATTTAGTTAAAGACACTAACTCAATAGTTGGCCCACACTGTCTATAAGCATGGTGAGTGCTACCATTTTTTCTGTTGATTTGTTCAATAAAGGCTACCACGTGAATCACTCAAGCTACGAAAAGAGCAAGGAAAATATCAGCCAATATCATAGGACATATTAAGCTGTTTGTACCTGGAAAAATTCAAGTTTATTATGTTTCTTTATTAAATAAATAAGGATAACAAATACTTCCTGTGCCTTTTTTTTTTTTTTTTTGATATTTTATCAACTTTTATGTTATTATTTCTCTGACTTCATTTCAGCACATTTGTTTGGGAAATGCATGGTGACTTTTGTTAGAAGGCTTGTCAATGAAAACCCCTCCGTTGTTTCTTGCATTGTAGGGCTAACTACAGGCCATTAAAGGCTTGAGCCAAAGCTTGTTGAAATCGATGGAGAATTTCTGGATACTTCAGATGAATTTGAAGCAGACCCAAAAGCTTCCCTTCAAAGAGAGGATGAGCCCAGCATCAATATTTCAACCCATCCTGCCCTGTAGAATTAGCTGGAGAAGGAAGGATTTTACTGGAAACATGAGATCCCACCTAGAGGTGAAAAACATACATATAAAAATGAGATTTTCTTAATGGTAATATGGATGTCTTTCCAGTTTAATTATGTTGATTTGCATTTTGGTTATTATTATATTAGTTAGACGTTAAAATTCGTACTAAGCAAAGAGTAACATCCTTCCCAACACATGCATTGCCAACGCCTTAATCCTGGAAGGAGCTTCAGAAGGGACACGGACAACCCTTAGCTGTTATCAGCATTGATTGAATCAGCCTTATCTTCACCCAGGCTAGCACCAATTTGCTTACCCTGTTTCTGTGCTCTGATTTCTATTTAAATGTGGCAGGTTCCTAATCATATTAAAACTGAACAAAATTGAGCTGGTTTAAACTGCAATGAAAAAGTCCACTCAGTCCCTTGAATTAGTTTAATAAAATCAGTTTATAATCATGTTTTATATTAACCTGGGGCAGTCTGACTTGTGGAAAAGACTTTTTTTTAAAATAAGCATTTGCTAAAATGTGTCGTATAATAATATGACTTCTGACTAATCGTGTGTATAGAATAAATCCGTCTGAAAAATTTTCAGCAAGATATTTTTGGTTGAAAGGAGCAGTTTGCTGAAATGAGAACTCTCTGTGGAGACAGGTTGCGTTAGTTAAGGAAATTCCTGGTTAGAATTTGTGGTCAAAATTCCCATGGGAAGGAAATTCAGGGTCATAATTCCTACTATGAAAATTTCCACGCCTAGATTTTTACCAGAATCGCCTAACTCTTACACATGTGTTCCCATCACTGTGCTAAGGCTGCTTTGGGTTACAGGACTTTCCTTATTTTCATGCAGATCTTGGGGAAGTTTCTAAAGGCTTTCAGATTTTCCATTTTTGAGGATGAAATTTAAAAAAAAATTTGCCAAAGGGATTTCTTGTTTTCCAGCCTAGCAAGGAACCTGGAGGACTGGCTCCTCAGTCCTGTGAATTTTTATAGTCTTTTTTTAAAATCAGTCCAATTATGTTGATTTTACAAAGCCACAGATCTATTAAATCAAGCCTGTGTGAAATCTGTGACATTGGAGTCAGGGCCTGCAATTTCCAGATTCATCTTGAGAGTTTTTAGTGGTTTCAGTTCCTTCTTACTTTTGATGAAAATTGTCTTACTAAATACCAGGATCATTTTGGAAACAAGTCTGCATTAAGACAGGCAGTTACAGCAGCGCAGGCAAACTCAGGCAGTTTTCTTAGAAAAAGCCACACGTTAGCAGCTTGCTTTAGTTTTAAAGAGAATTTTTATAATCGTCAAAAATTGCTGTAAGAAGAGGAGAAATAAAAACTAAATGCTTTGCAGCGCGAAGCCTCCGCTGGGCTCTAGTGTTAAAGGATGCCCGTGTAGGGCGACAGTAAGTGTCGTGTTTCTGACAACAGCGATGCATTTTTCTGCTGTGTGCCGGGGTGCTGAGACAAGAGCGGAACTGGGTTTAAAACA